GAAGGGTCGTGCCCTCTGTGACTGTGCTTGCAGCCTTGTGCCGCCATCTTTTTTTACAGTCCATACCAGGAATTAAATTGTCACAATAAAAAAAAAGTAAAAAAATTATATATATATATATATATATATATATATATATCTATCTATCTTTGTACTAGTTGCACGTGGTACTCTCCTTGTTTTCCTAAGTGTGAGCTTTGTACAAAAAATATACCTGAACTCAGCTCCTAATATAACCATTTAAATAACTATTTTGCTATTTTGTACAAATACTTCATATTAGCATTCTGCAAAAATAACTCTACAGCTATCAAGGAACATTCCTGACCTGTTTCCAGGGACAACTTGTCTAAAGCAATATATATACGCATCTCTATTTCAGCATATTAAAAGTTTCCTCCATCAGAAGCGAACAGGATGCGGTGCCTCTTAGGAACACATTGTATAGGATTTGTTAAAAAATAAATGTGACATATTGTGCTGATTATCCTCTGTACAGGAGCCACAGAGTCACTTAGGGGGCTATTACAGAATACATGGCTTTCCAGGGTCTGGAGACAACACCATTAATTGAGCCTCGTACGGTACAACTGCCAAAAGCTGCATCATAAAATATTAAAGTCCTCCTTCTACAATGCTTGTCTTCTGTATGGCGGCGTGTTCAGGGACTGTGCACTGCCCTCAGTCATTCTGTGGTGGGTTTGTTAGAATTGAAGGACCTTGGAATGTACAATCACACCATACTTAAAAGGATAATCCACATACTGTAGTGGTAAACACAGCCAGAAAAATATCTTCTGCTCATTTCATGAAGAAAAAGAAAAGGAAGAAAAGGAAAAGGAAGAACAGGAAAAAAAGAAAAAGGAAAAGGAAGAAAAGAAAGAAAAGGAAAAGGAGGAAAAGGAAGAAAGGAAAATGAAAAGGAGGAAAGGGAAGAAAAGGAAAAGGAAGAAAAGAAAGAAAAGGAAAAGGAGGAAAAGGAAGAAAGGAAAAGGAGGAAAAAGGAAGAAAAGGAAAAGGAGGAAAAGGAAGAAAAGGAAAAGGAAGAAAAGGAAAAGGAAGAAAGGAAAGAAAAGGAAAAGGAGGAAAAGGAAGAAAAGGAAGAAAAGAAAAAGGAAGAAAAGGAAGAAAGGAAAAGGAGGAAAAGGAAGAAAAGGAAAAGGAAAAAAAGGAAGAAAGGAAAGGGAAGAAAAGGAAGAAAAGGAAAAGGAAGAAAAAGGAAAAGGAAGAAAAGGAAAAGGAAGAAAAGGAAAAGGAAGAAAAGGAAGAAAAGGAAAAGGAAGAAAAAGGAAGAAAAGAAATGGAAAAGGAAGAAAAGGAAAAGAAAGGAAGAAAAGGAAAAGGAAGAAAAGAAAAGGAAAAAGAAGAAAAAGGAAAAGGAAGAAAAGGAAAAGGAAGAAAAAGGAAAAGGAAGAAAAAGGAAAAGGAAGAAAAGGAAAAGGAAGAAAGGAAAAAAAGGAAAAGGAAGAAAAAGAAAATGAAGGAAAAGGAAAAGAAAGAAAAAGAAAAGGAAGAAAGGAAAGGTAAAAAAAGAAAAGGAAGGAAAAGGAAAAAAAAAAAAAAAAAAGGAAAAGAAGAAAAGAAAAAAAAAAAGAAAAAGAAAGAAAAAGAAAAGGAAAGGAAGGAAAAGGAAAAAAAAGGAAAGGAAGGAAAAGTAAAAAAAAAAGGAAAAGAAGAAAAGAAAAAAAAGGAAAAGAAGAAAAGAAAAGAAAAAAAAATGAAAAGAAGAAAAGAAGAAAAAGGAAAAGAAGAAAAGGAAAAAAAAGGAAAAGAAGAGAAAAGAAAAAGGAAAAAAAAGAAAGGAAGGAAAAGAAAAAAGGAAAAAAAAAAAGGAAGGAAGGAAAAGAAAAAAGGAAAAAAAAAAAGGAAGGAAAAGAAAAAAAGGAAGGAAAGAAAAGAAAAGAAAAGAAAAAAGGAAGGAAAAGAAAAAGAAAGAGGGGGGGGGGGGGAGAGAGAAATTGAGAGAGAAAGGGAGGGAGAAGATAGTAGACAATGAAGGTAGTAAGAGACGGATAACAAAGGGAGAGGAAGAGAAAAACTGAGGATGAGTGTAAATAGCAATCAAAGAAGTGAAACTACACTTATTTTTGATCTTGTAAATATTCCTTGTGACATTTTCCTGATTTGACCCATCTTGCAGAAATGAATAACATTCGAGCTGGAGTGAATATAGCCCAGTAACATTTGATTTTGCCCCCATTCGCACAAAGTGAATATACATGCAGTTTTTCTGCATTTTTTTTAATACAACCCTTAAAATGTTGATCTGGATTTATGTTTTTGTGTAAACTGTTTGTATATTTATATTTTAGCAAAAGAATAATGAAAATAACCGGTGTATGTTTACTAATCCTGATGCTTCCAGAAATCCTTACCTTAAAAGATAAAGACAAAGAAAAAAGAAAGAAAAAAAAGAAATTAAATGACATAAAAAAGAAGAGGAGGGAAGGAAGGAGGAAAAGAAAGATAAGGACTGGGAAGAAATACATGAAGGAATGAAATGGAAAAAAAGGGAGAACGAGAGAGAGAAAGAAAGGGAGAACGAGAGAGAAATGGAGAACGAGAGAGAGAAAGAAAGAGAGAATGAGAGAGAGAAAGAAAGGGAGAAAGAGAGAGAGAAAGAAAGGGAGAACGAGAGAGAGAAAGAAAGGGAGAACGAGAGAGAGAAAGAAAGGGAGAACAAAAGAGAGAATGAGAGAGAGAAAGAAAGGGAGAACGAGAGAGAGAAAGAAAGGGAGAACGAGAGAGAGAAAGAAAGGGAGAACGAGAGAGAGAAAGAAAGAGAGAATGAGAGAGAGAAAGAAAGGGAGAACGTAAGAGAGAAAGAAAGGGAGAAGGAGAGAGAGAAAGAAAGGAGAGAACGAGAGAGAGAAGGAGAGAGAGAAAGAAAGGGAGAAGGAGAGAGAGAAAGAAAGGGAGAAGGAGAGAGAGAAAGAAAGGGAGAAGGAGAGAGAGAAAGAAAAGGGAGAACGAGAGAGAGAGAAAGAAAGGGAGAACAAGAGAGAGAAAGAAAGGGAGAACGAGAGAGAGAGAAAGAAAGGGAGAACGAGAGAGAGAAAGAAAGGAAGAACGAGAGAGAGAAAGAAAGGGAGAACGAGAGAAAGGATAATCCACGTAGTGGTAAACACAGTCAGAAAAATATATTCTGCTAATTTCCTGTTTCCTTTTTTCTTAGGAGGAAAGGAAGAGAGAGAAGCAAATAAATGTAGGAAAAGAAAAAAAAAGAAATTAAGAAAAATGAAAAGAAAAAGGAGTAAGGAAGGAAGGAGGAAAAGATAGATAAGGAAAAAGGGAAGAAAAAGGAGCAAGAGAATGAAGGAAGGGAAAGTAATACATAAGGAAAAACTGGGAAGAAAGAAATGAAGGAATTAAATGAAAGAAAGGGAGAAAGGGGGAAAGAAAGAGAGAGAAAAAGAGAGAGAGAGAAAAAAAGAGAGAAAAAGAGAGAGAGAGGGAAAAAAAGAAAGAGAAAAAGAGAGAAAGGTTAAGAAAGAAGGAAAAACTGGGAAGAAAGAAATGAAGGAATTAAATGGGAGAAAGGGGGAAAGAAAGAGAGAGAGAAAAAGGAGAGAGAGAGAGAGAGAGAGAGAGAGAGGTTAAGAAAAAAGGAAAAACTGGGAAGAAAGAAGTGAAGGAATTAAATGAAAGAAAGGAGAAAGGGGGAAAGAAAGAGAGAGAGAAAAAAGAGAGAGAAAAAAAAGAGAGAGAGAGAAAAAAGAGAGCGAGAAAAAAAAGAAAGGTTAAGAAATAAGGAAAAACTGGGAAGAAAGAAATGAAGGAATGAAATGGAAGAAGGAAGGAAAGAAATGAAGAAAGGAAGGAAAAAAAAAGAAAAGAAGTAAAGGAAGGAAGAAAGAAGCAATGTAAAGAAGGCAAAAGGATAAAAGGAAAGAGACTGTCAAGGTTAACTCTTTAAAATCTTTTTTAAAGAAACCCCGAAATATAATATCTGAGTGGAGTGACTCTTTGAATGTCCATTAGGCAGCCAAATTATATAAACTTTATTGGAATTGCCATCCACATAAGTGGACATCAGCACAGGTAAGTAGGGTGGCATACATTGGTAAAGATGGCTCCTATCTGGATAGTGTAGATGAGTAGAGGAGCATTCTAAGTAATAGACGGTGTTTTGTCCTCAGAATGCAAATAATTGAAATAACTGTCCTACTTGGAGACTCAGCAGATTTGAAGTTAATAGAGCAATATATATATATAATGTAAAAGATGTCCCAACACAACCTAACTGGTCATCCAGTAAAGAGTAACTCTCACCCTCCAATCTCTCCCCATTAATTACAGACTACAGAGGGTGAAGACGACCCCACTTGTGGATATGGTGGTGCTCCTAATACAGAGAGCGCGGAGACGGAAGAAGTGAGACCGGCACGGCGCTCCTCTACAGTATGTCAAGCCAGGGAGGTTTACAATAACTGTGAATATCTTTTATAACTCAATTCTGCATCAAACCCTCCCCCGAGGGCACGCGGAGTCCAATAACTTTAATCTTCTCGGTTAATAATTGTGTATGTAAAAACCAATCTAATTTGGGAGCGGGAATTGTTCCTCCAGGATGCGTTATTCTTCCCGGGAAGGAATATATTACGCCTCTAAAAAGTAGCAGTAAAGCGCGCTCCATAGAAAGTAATTCATTATTTTCCTAAATCTTTCATTATTCCGTCGGGAGGTGAGCCTGAAATAGCTCACAGGAAGCGTTCTTAATTAGCTTTCTTTCCGTATCAAATATAATATAGTTTTAACATTAAAATGTCACTCATGGGAGCGTCCAGTTTGTAGAGATGATTAATGGGTTCGGCTTTCCATGTTGACATTCTCGATAACAAGGAGGAAAATCTACGCCAGGAAATGTTGCAATTACGGTTTGATAATTTGATGCACAATGAAAATTATCTGCGGGAAAATATTTGTTCGTTTAGCGTTCCCGAGCGTTCTGCTTGTGTTGGCAGCAAAGAGTTTGTTTCTGTAGATCTCCTGTTTAAGATGTTCATAGCATCCTCCTCATCGATGGCTCCAGATACCGAGCTGGTTTACTGGGACCAACAGGGGCGGACTGACCATTTGGAAACTCGGGCACTGCCCGAGGGCCCCGGGGTCAGTAGGGGGCCCCATGAGATGCCCCTGGTACCTTTTTCATAGGCTTTTTTGAGTTTGGGCAAGGACACAGGGGCCCCATGATCCCCTATTGAGGGCCGGGGTCAGTAGGTTCGGACCCTTGGATCATCTTCTTGCATTCTCATTGGAATTTGTATTTGTAAGTCAGTAAAAACATGACACTAATCTCTTCCCACACTCCATCCAAAACCAGGATAAAAAATGTGTCTGGACATAGACATTAATTGCCTCCATCCTCTGTGCCATGGCTGTACTTTGAGTGAGGGGTACCGTCTCCAGCAGGGGTGGACTGACAACTCATAGGCAGGGGTGGACTGACAACTCATGGGCAAGGGCCAGGGTCAGTAGGGGGCCCCATGAGATGCCCCTGGTACCTTTTTCATAGGCTTTTTTTGAGTTTGGGCAAGGACACAGGGGCCCCATGATCCCCTATTGCCCAGGTGCCCCATGAGTTGTCAGTCTGCCCCTGGGGACGAACAATTTGGTAAATGGTCAAGTCAATCATCTGATGATCTGGGGAGGGGCCCCGGTTTCAAATAATGTAAATCCTAAGTGGGTGGTCTTCAATTTGCTAGGACTCTGTAGTATAAGCCCGGGGTCTCCAAACGTCAATGTGGGGGCCACAGTGTATATTTTACAAATATTTGCAGGATGGCAAAAAATTGTTTCATAAATGAATTAATAAAATATAAATGAATGAATGAATGAACTCCAACAAAAAAACTTTATCAGAAGCCCCCCCTACATAAGAAGTACCCCATTCACATTAGTGCCCCCCCTTCTTTGACATTTGAGGTCTCCCATTACATCTGAAGTCCCCCTATCATATCACAGCCACTCCTTCACAACAGAGACCCCCCATGACATGACAAGCCCCCCTTCACATCAGCAAACCCCATCATAGCAAAGCCATCTCTTCACATCAAAGCCCCTCATCGAATTAGTGCCCCCTCTTCACATCAGAATCCCCCCATCACATCAGAGACCCTCTTCACATCAGGGTCCCCCTTCACATCAGAATCTCCCCTTTCATGTCACGGTCCGCTCGTCACTTCAGAATCCCCCCTTCACATCAGAGACCCCCATCACATCAGGGTCCTTCCTTCACATCACCTTTCACATCAGAAGCCCCTCCATTACATAAGAGACCCTGATCAAATCAGACCCCCCCCCCAAATCACATCAGGGTCCCTCCTTCACACCAAAGTCTAGCCTTCAAATCAGAATCCTTCTTATCCTCCCTTTCACATGGCAAGCCCCCTTCACATCAGCACATCCTATCACATCAGAGTCTTCCCTTCACATTAGAATCTCCCTTTTCACAACACAGTCCCCCATTCTTCAGAGTCCCCCCTTCACATCAGAGACCCCCATCACATCAGGGTCCTTCCTTCACATCACCTTTCACATTAGAAGCCCCTCCATTGCATAAGTACATAAACATGAACATTGCCACAGTTGACACTGCCAACTGCTACAGAGGGAGTTAACTGGAGCCACATCAAAATTTTTAGAAGAACCATCATGATTCACAATTACATCCATGCATTTATTCAAGCAGTCTTAGAGTGAATGGGTATGTTGGCGCCAGTCCAATTGGGACAAGCCACTTGTTCAACAGCTTTTAAAATTTTCGGGGGCAGCCCCCTCATTTATAATCCAGTTTATACTGAATAAATGTATCATTCAGCAAGTTATTCCACAACTTTGTGTTGGGTGGTGGTGGGTAGACGAGGTTTTCTAGGAGTTTCTGCATTTTGCATTATCATTCCGCTTTCCGCTGTCTTGTTGAATAAGCCCAGTAGGCCTAAATTTTTTTTTTATTATATTTCATTGGCTGAATTTTATTGGAAGAATCACCGGGGATTACCTAGAGATACGTGGAGGCCTGGCATTAATGTGAGCGCGACGATGATCCGAACATTATGTTTATTTTGCGGTTGACAGACCATGCATCATAGAGAAATGCTGTTATTGATGGATTTCAACTTAAACTAACACAAGCAAAGCAATCAATCTGGGCCGCAGTGTGGCAAGTTTCAAAATTTATGAGCAAAATCCGTGGAACGATGTCACAACCATGAAAAAAAAAAAATGAAATAGTGATACGAGTCTGATATTTATGGAACGGGATCCGGTGACAGGGCAGGATGTGAGTACACAGGTTATTGGGTGAACGCGCTGTTTACTGCCGACGGGGTGGGGGGGGGGGTGACATGAAGAAGATGCTGATGGCGTGACCCAGCCAAGTAATGTGAGAAGTATACCGTAAAATAATGTCAACATAATTCTTGTTATTCATCTTTCACTGATTGAACTTGCCTTTGTTAGCCTTCCTAAATCTGGAGTGTGCTGTGCAACATACAATATGGCCACATTTTGTGGGTATCTGAGCTTCATACCTTGATGGGTTTGTTGGTCATCCCATTCCAAAACCATAGTCTTTAATATGTTACATAGATACATAGTCTGGCTGACAAAAAGACAAAATTCCATCCAGTTCAATCATAAAAAAAAAAAAGTTATAATCCTACACCCACAGTTGATCCAGAGGAAGGCAAAAAAAAACCCCAGCAAAGCACGAGCCAATTTGCTCCTGCAGGGAAAAAAAATTCCTTCCTGATCCCCCGAGAGGCAATCGGATATTCCCTGGATCAACTTTACCTATAAATGTTATATCCAGTTACAGTTTTGTCATTTTTTTAACCACTTGCCGCCCAGCCACCGCATATAAACGGTGGCAGGCGGCGCTCGTAGGCAAAAGCACGTTTTAAAACAGCTGCCCTCAAAACAGGTAGGGGGCGCGCGCTAGGCGCACGCCCGCCTTGCCTGTCCTGCAGGTGTCAGCAGCGGGTCTCCGCCGCGATCAGCGGTGATCACTGACAAACAGCAGGGCTGCATTGTTTACACACAGCCCTGCTCTGTGACAGTTTGCCGACAAGCTGAAGAGGGAGAGAAGAGTTTCTCTCCCTCGATCAGCTCCCCCCTCCCTCCTCCATCCAGTACACACCCCCGCCCCCTAGTAAAACACTCCCCCTACACAGCAAATTCTAAAAATGTTAACCCCTTCCTCCCCAGTGACATTAGTACAGTTTCAGTGGTTTTTTTTCACTGATCACTGTATTGGTGTCACTGGGGATGTCAGTGACCCCAAGTCAGTTCCCCCCCCAGTGTCAAAATGTCCGCTGCTGTCCCGCAGTCGCTGGTCGCCGCCATATGTCGCTGATTGCCGCTATATGTCGCTGATCGGCGCCATTATTAGTATAAATAGAAATTAAAAATCCCAGTATCTTTCCCGCTATTTTTAAATGCTATAACTTTCACGTAAACCAATTAATTTACACGTATTGGGTTTTTTTGTAGCAAAGACATGTCGCAGAATGCATTTTGGCAGAAATGTATGACTAAATTTGATTTTTGCACTTTTTTTTTACTGGACATGTTTTATAGGAAAAAGTCCAAAATATTGTTTTTTTTTCCCTCAAAATTGTCAGCCTTTTTTTTTATAGCGCAAAAAAAAAAAAACCGCACAGGCGAACAAATACCACCAAAAGAAAGCTCAATTTGTGGGGAAAAAGGATGTAAATTTCATTTATGTACCATATTGCATGACCGCGTAATTGTCCGTTAAACTAGCGCAGTGCTGTATAGCAGAAAAATGGCGTAAATTGCAGTATCTATACCATAGTTTGTAGACGCTATAACTTCACACAAAGCAATCAATATACACTTATTGGGATTTTTTTTACCAAAAACATGGAGCAGAATACATTTTGGCCTAAATTTATAACCAACTTTGAGTTTACTATATATTTTTTTATAGCTGAAAGTAAAAAATATTGTTTTTCTTCAAAATTTTTGGCCTTTTTTTGTTTATAGCGTGAAAAATAAAAAGCGCACAGGTGATCTAATTACACCGAAAGAAAGCTCTATTTGTGTGAAAAAAGGACGTAAATTTCGTTTGGGTGCAGCATTGCATGACCGCGCAATTATCAGTTGAATTAGTGCAGCGCCGAGTAGCAAAAAGAGGCCTGGTCATTAAGGGGGGTAAATCCTCTGGAGCTCAAGTGGTTAAACACAAATAGAGATTTATTTTGGTGATATTTAACCTCCTTAGCGGTATTCCTGAGTGTAGTTCGGGGTAAAATTTGAGTACCAAGAGCGGTAATCCTGAGCTACACTCGGGCTTACCATGTGGCGTTGCTCGGGGAGTCCCTGCAGCACTTACCTTGTCCTTTGCTCCCGCGATGTGTCCCCTGCAGCGTCCCCGGCCATCTCCTCCGGCCGATGCCGGCATCCGGCTTCCGTGTTCCGGTCCCTGTGACGTCGAGACGTACGGGCGCCGGAACCGGCGGGAAATTTGAAATTTTTTAAAAATGTAATTTTTGCTGTCATTGCTGTTTCAATGCATTTCACATACATTTTGTCCCTACTGCTTTGTCCGGCGCCCTGCCTGCATTTTGAATGTTCTTTCTGCCTTGAAAAGTCTATGGCGTCCAAAAAGCGTCCCTTTAGGTCAGACGCGGTTTTAGACCGGCTAGAGAACAGCGATAGTAAATCAGAACCACTTGCAGAATTGAGTGATAATGATTCGTGGGGGAAATTCCTCATCAGACACTAAAAACGATTTCGCAACTTTGCTCAGCGATGTGCGAATTTGCCTCTGTATTTCACATTTCAGTGTTTTTGGTTTGATTATATTATTGAATTAAATTTATTATTATTATATTATTATTATTTATGATTATTTATTAAATTATAATTTATGATTTTGTGTTTCAAATTTTATCCTCCCCGGGATGTTTACTAGACTCTTGTTCGGACAGATTTCAGTGAGTTATTCCTAAAAATTACAGCCTACAATAAAAAACTACATATTTCCATGCAAAATAATGGTACCGCTTTCAGCACAAAAAATCGGAAAGAATCATACCGCCGAGGAGGTTAATCACCACTGGGGTTTTTTTTTTTTTGCAAAATAAATGAAAAAAGACCAACAATTGTGTAGAAAAAAACATGTTTTGCTTAGTTTTTGTTATTACATTTTGCAAATATAATGTATTTAATATATAATATATATATAAAAGAAAGAGGCAAGGATAGTAGTGACATCATTGAATAAATATGGCAAGTGACCATATGTGGGCAGTGATGTCATTGCCATCCCCGCCCTGTGATTATGTGGCTGAAAATTCCTTGTGATGTCAGTGGTTGCTAGGGAAGCAGTGGGTGCCTGCATCCACTGCTTTCATAGAAACCATGGACAACGGGAAATGATCATATATGGAAAAGGTAACAATGCTACCTTATACTCCCACTGAACAGGGGGCCAAATAGAGAAAAGTTCGAACTTCCAACCAGATGCTCACAGTTTATTTATTTATTACTTATATAGCGCTGTCAATTTCCGCAGCACTTTACAT